TTTATCATAAGAGTTTATTGCACTTATAACACAAGCTAGCCTTTGACTATGGGTCAGGGAATCAATTATGGAGAAAAATTTAGAAAATAAATGGCAAAACAGAAACACATGTTTAATGGTCCAATCTTATACAAATGGGATTTTCCATAGATTCTGTCATTTGAGGTAATAATTGTCAAGATGATAATTTTAGATGATCCAAACAGTATTACTCAGCAACCTATCATATCTAAGAAATAAAACATGTGTTTCAGTTTTTCCACAGAGAGCCTGAAGATAGTATATTCAGTGTACTGTAGGAGTTATCTGTGCTACATGAAAAAGGCAAAAGAGCAGTTTTAAGGAGGTAATTTTAATTAGAAATTTCAATGTGTGAATGGAAGAGATCCCTGGGTAGACAGAACTATTTTTATTTAAAGAACACTTTATGTTTTTGAAGAACAGAATATCTTAAAATTAGACCGGGGATCTTTGATGATATAAGTGGTTTCAAATAAGATAATTTAACATCTAAATATTGAAAGCTGCTGCAGTGAGAAAAATAAATAATTATTTTATATTAATATCTGCCTTTTGTTCATAATATATCTGAATATATTTCAAAGCATTATTCTACTAAAATAGTTCTTCTATGCTTATTTTATTTTTGTATAATTTACAATGAAGTCATAGCAATAATAAGCACCAATATAAAATCATTTTGAAATATAGAAAAGTATGTGTTTTTAAGCACAGTACTGTAGGAACATGTAATTTTGAGCCAATATTTTGAACAAGTGTCATATTTATGTATGCAATCTTGGTTTCATTTTAGTTGATTTAAAGTGAAGCAGTCCATGGAATAAGTTTGTATCCATTGAGGCATACAGTGAATGTTTCTTTTAAAGAAAAATATTCATTTACACAGATAATGTCTTTGTGAAATAAAAGTTTTAAGTTCAAATTTTTTCATAAAATTTATTTAAGGATTTATGTGGTTAATGCATAACAAGTATACACACAGAACTAAAGCTTAGATAGCCTCCAATATATGGTAAATTAGAATTATTATTTCTCTTTCTCTTAATCCCATGGAGTTTTCAGGGAATATAGACTTGAATTTAAAATATAAATATCAGAGTATTCAGTCTTACTACCTTTAATTAAGAAGAACTTAAGTATCTACAAAAGGACGAATAATGCAGATAATTTTATTATAATATATTGAGTAAATTTATGCTCTTTCTGCCTTCTTCTGCTCATGAGTAAAATACACACAAATGACATGGATTTAATTTAAGATATTTAAATGTGTACAACCATAACTGTACTTTATTTAGCACTAGAAACTATTTTATTAAAGGTAAAGTTATTTTTATTAAATATTGCATTGCCAAAAGCGATAACGACTACATTTTTGTTTTCCTTTGTGTTAATTATTCTCTCTTTGAAAACTGACATTTCATCTAAATAGTTTCATTTCTGAATCAAATATTTAGCAACAAATAAAGTGTTTGGTCATTTTCTAGAATCTATACTGATTTGCTATGGCAATGTAGTAATAGTGAAATAAAATCCATTCCAAAAAGTTCAGTTAAATCTCAACACAATAGGCTGAAAAGTGATTTGTACTCCTGGTATTAGGACCACAGGATACATAAATAAAATAAACAAAATTACAATTGGCAGTGAACAATGGTTCCCGCTTTTAATTTCAGCTGCTTAGGGAGGATGAGATCAAGAGGATTGCAATTCAAGACCAGCCCAAGTAAAAAGTTAGCAAGATCCTATCTCAGTCAATGAGCCAGGGATGGTGGTACATGCCTGTGGTCCCAGCTACTCAGGAGGCCTTTTGTAGAAAGGTTATGATCTGAGGTTGGGCCAGGGTAAAACAAGACCCTACTTGAAAAAAAAATAACGAATGCAAAAAATGTTCTAGATGTATGGCTCAAGTAGTGGAACACCTGCCTCCCAACTCTGAGGCCCTGAGTTCAAATCACAGTACCACTTGAAAAATATACAATGAATTCATGGAGGAACCAGGGGGTGTGCAACTACAATCCCAACAACTCAGTAGGCCAAGACAGAAGGATCAAGATCTGATGCTGATTCAGCCAAAAGTGGAAGACCCTATCAAAAACAAACTAAAACAAGAAGTTCTGGAGGCATTGCTCAAGTGGTAGAGTGTTTGTCTAGTAAGCATGAGGCCCTGAGTTCAATCCCAGTTCTGCCAAAAAAACTTAATGCATCTTCCATCTGGAGATTTGGGAGCCTGAGAATTTCATAATTTTAGATTATTGCATGAAGATCATATTCAATTTTCACAATAAATATGCCATACAAAGGAAAAGTAAACTAGAGAAATACATTTTCATGTTGCCTAAATCAATGAATAAATTCCCTAGAATATAAGGCAATTTAAAAAGTAACAACTAGAATGTAAATAAAGTTTTTTAAATGTTATGATTTCTTTAAGTTGTCTTACCTGTATTCACATAATAATCCTAAGTATTGTCAAAATTGTTAGCCTATTGTGTAGGTGAGTAAACTATGGCAAGGAGATTTTAACAAGTAACACAAGTGTAAAGTGCAATTCTGATTCAATCTCAGTCCATCTTGATAAGACTCTGCCCTACTTCTGTGAAACTGTCCTTACACTATGTTTGGTAAAGAAGGTACAGATTACTAGGTTGGAGAAACAAAAGGCATGAGTGGGATTAGTGACGAGCCATGAGAAAACTTGGGTGCCATATCTCAGGCATTCAGTTTCAGGAGTACACAAGTACAAATCAGCCCAAGAATGAAGGAGAACCATTAAAAGTTTTACCAAAGGAGTCCCGCTTGATTTACAATAGTCCTGGCAATAATAAACAGAAAGAATCAAAGAAAGCAATTTGTCAACAAAGTAAATCAATAACTCCACTAAATATCAGACATGTGTTTCAAATCTGAGGAGTAAGAATTTATTAACATAGTGTCATATCTATGTAGTTTACTAACTATAATTGAGGAAATATAACTAGAGAATATTCACCTTGAAATTTGTCTGAGATATTTTGCAATGTTATTTATTTCTCATAAATACTGAACCTTAGAAAATTACATAGTTATTTATTATCTGGTAGATAAATGACAGTTAAGATTAAAACTCAATTTCAATGAAATAAAATTCACACTAACTTGCAATCATAAGACCTATATGCAAATTCTCAAATTGTCATTATGAGTTTCAATATCTTTATTTCTAAATAAAAATTAAGGTTAGAAATGGTTATCTCAGAGGCTGGTTTGTTAGGAATAGCAGAGATCATAGTGTGTACACAGAGTTAAACTTAAATGCATATGTGTGTGTGTCTGTCTCTGTGTAGATCCACATATATACACAGTGTGTGTGGAGGATTACTAACATCCACATAGCAGTCATAAGTCACTGCCCTGTTACACTTTCTGTCTAATCCATGATCCCAGGTTAATTTTACTGATTAAAATCTTCTTATGCAGTTCACTTAATATAATACTGAAAGATAGTTTTGCTGTTCTCTCAATGAAATATACTTTTTATTTTTTAAATGCCTATAATTATGAACTGCATAATGAAGACAGTTATGCTCAAATGAAGAATAGGAAGAAGTGAAGAATTGAAATAAAATAAATAAACATACATCATATTTCCAAAAGCTAGAAGAAAAGATTTGAAAATTTTCATCATGCAGAAATTATAAATGTGCAAGGAAAGAAATGTTTAACTAGATTTAAACATTATGCAATGCATACATTGATCAAAATATAACACAGAACATGTTATATTATAATTTTTATGTTTTTATGTATTAGTTAATTTTTTTAAACAAATATATGTGTGAAGGAAGTCTGATATAGTGCTACTAAAGCTTGATAAAGAAATTCACAGAGAAGCACAATAGGATTGTCAAACAACATAGTCCTTTACGACTGAAGTAATAAGACAATGAAATTGTGGATTTCTCCTCAGTAGGTGCCAATTGCTCAGTGTCTGTAATGAGGATGGTTTGGCTTATCCTGGTCTGATGACAGAAAGCATTCTGGAATGTTCTAAGGCAATTTCAGAGCTAGGTGCCAGTGGCTCACATCTGTAATCCTAGCTACTCAGGAAACAGAGATCAGGAGGATTGAGGTTTGAAACCAACCTGGATAAATAATTCATGAGACCATATTTTGAAAAACACCCGACACAAAGCAGGGCTGGCAGAGTGGCTCTAGAAGTAGGGCACCCACCTAATAAGTGTGTGGTCCTGAGTTTGAACACCACCAAAAACTTAAAAAAAAGAATTTCAGAGAAAGTATACAGTGAAAATCTATAAGATCTAACATAAGAACATATAAAATACCAAGTAGTAGATTCTTTTTTTTTATTTTTGGAGTTACTGGGATTTGAATTCAATGTTTCACGTTTGCTAGGCAGGCAGTCTACCACTTGATTCATGCATCCAGCCATGTTGGCTTTAGTTACTTTTTAGGTAGGATCTAGCATTTTTTTTCCCTACTGGCCTAGACTGTAATTTTCCTACTTAAGCTTCCACATAGCTGAGATTGTAGACAAACTGAGCCATGCCCAGCTTACTGGTTGAGATGGTATCTTGTTGACTTTTTGGCTCAGCTGGCCTAGAACCATGGTCCTTCCAATGTACTCCTCCAGAGTAGCTGAGATTACTAGCATGAGATACTGCATCCAGTCCATATTATTCTTCCAGTGGAAATAATTACAGTGATCATGAGAATTGTTCTGGATGACCTGGTACATTTTGAGAACAGGCTCTTGTTCCTAAAGGTAAAGTGAAAAACATATGTTAAGTGTTGTCTTACAGCAAGGTATGGTGTTTCATGTTTATAATCCCAGCACTTAGGAGGCTGAGGTATGAAGATTATAAATTTGAGGACCATCTGAGCTACATAGAAAGAAGGTGTCTTTAAAAACTAACTTATTAACTAACTAACTAAATGGCATGGTAAATAAATTAATATTTTTTATAAAGTAATTAATAAGTATGCCCTCTCCACAGATGAATCAACACCAAAAGCCAACAGAAGAAAATAGAACAGAAGTGATGGAATTTGTTCTTTTGGGATTTTCTGACGTTTCTCACCTCCAGTGGTTTTTATTTGGATTGTTCCTTGCCATCTATATCATTATCCTGTTGGGAAATGGCACCATATTACTAATAACAAAAGTAGAACCCACTCTCCACACCCCCATGTATTATTTCCTTGGCAATTTTTCCTTTTTGGAAATCTGTTATGTGTCATTTACTCTCCCCAGAATGCTTGTGAATCTTGGCACTCAAAGAAGAAGCATCTCTTTAGTTGTCTGTGCTACACAAATGTGCTTTGTTCTTGTACTGGGAGCCCCAGAGTGTTTTCTTTTGGCTGTGATGTCCTATGACCACTATGTGGCCATTTGTAACCCTCTGAACTATTCTGTACTCATGAATCACAAGGTTTGTACCCAGCTGGTGACTGGCTCCTGGATCAGTGGAATTCCAGTCCAGATAGGACAGACATTCCAGATTTTCTCACTGTCATTCTGTGCTTCCAACCAAATCAACCACTTCTTCTGTGATATACCCCCAATACTCAATCTTGCTTGTGGAGAAATCTTTGTGAATAAGATGATGGTCTATATAGTTGCTGTGTTGTTTGTCTTAGTTCCTTTTCTGTTAATACTTATATCTTATAGCAAAATCATCTTTACAGTTCTCAAATTGTCATCAACCACAAGTAGGGCCAAAGTCTTTTCCACCTGTTCATCTCATCTTGCTGTTGCGGGGTTATTCTTTGGACCAGGCATTATTACATATTTAAGACCCAAGTCTAGTCATTCATCAGACATAGAAAAAGTGCTTTCTCTGTTTTATACTATTGTAACTCCCATGCTCAACCCCATGATATATAGTCTAAGGAATAAAGATGTGATAATGGCACTAAAAAATTATTATATAAATAATTCTTTTGAATAAAACATGAGTTGTGTTTGCAGGTCTTGTTTTTCCATGTCTATAATAAACTTTCAACTAATATGTATTGTTACCTCTGTCTCTTATTTGTCTCTACAATGATAACTATTTCCAAAGTAAATTCCATTTGTAATGTTGAGAAACAAATCGGTCTTAAGTTATGAGCAAAGAATGTGTCACTAAATAAAAAAAATGCAATAGTAATTCCATATATTATTTTGTACAAAATAACCATTCTTAAAAGAACTTTTGACAAGGCTGATTTAATTGAGAGAATTTTAGTAAGGCATTGTTATATCAATTACCAGAAATCATATTTTTTTTGCCACATATTTGTGACATCCATTTTTATAAAGCAAGTAGCCAAGGCATGAAATGAAACACACACAATAGAATAGGCAAAAGAATTCAGAGAAACCATGATTGGTCAGGACTTTTGGCTAAAAAAAGTATGGTATAGTGATTATACCTTCCATGAAAATATCTTGTGTATAAATGAATAAGATAATCTCTCTCTCTCTCTCTCTCTCTCTCTCTCTCTCTCTCCAAAACTGGAAAGTATGATACTACATCCTGCCTAGAAACAGGGAGCCTTAGCATATGTTAATAACTCAAATGATAAGCCTAAGTAAGAACAAAACAAGCATGGGAAAAATCACTGCTAATTTTAGAGAGAGTAATTATTAGAAACTAATGAAATCTAATTGAAATGATTGGTAATTGGACAATAAAAAATGAAAGAAAAATTGAGTGAGCATGATTTCACAAAAAAATTCAAGGCAGAACTTGGACAAATTCAAGCTATTGCATGTAAAATTGAGTGATGTAGGAACTGAGAAGGCCTTTCTTTCTTATCTTTCTATATACAAGAAATATAGAAAAAGATAGGTTGTGAGAAGAGCATGTTTTAGCAAAATTGATGTTTATTCTACTAAAAAAAAAGTGCTGCATCCTACATTATGGGATAGGCTCAATATTGTCAACCTGCCAATAGATAGCTAGCTGATCACCCCTGGGAAAATTGCTGCAGCAAGCATTCAGCATTAGTTTCTCTATTAAGAAAGAGACAAGTTGAGGACCTTGTAATGCATTCCTGCAATCCTAGTGGAGGAGATAAGGGTCGGAGGATCATACAAAGTCTTTCATTGGTAAAAGCACTAGACCATGTCTGTAATATAAGATAAAGCAAAAAAGGCTGTAGGAAGGGTTCAAGGAGAATAAATGAGGTTTCAGTGCATTGAAGTGAAACAAAATTTTGTGGTAGTTGCCAATATCAGATGTGGGAGACCATCTCTGATGTGATGGATTGTCCCACATGGTCCTTGTGCTAACCTGACAGAAGCAATTTTGAGGGCAGCCACTACACTAATATAGAAAATGTTTAAAGGGCCTTCCATCCCAATATATGAAAAAGTCACAAAGCAGAAACAGAAGAAATATGAAAAAAGCAATATGACTCTTTCAAAATTTCACAACTCTGCAATTATTGTATCCACAATTCTGAAATTGTTGAAATGCTGGACAAAGAGTGCAAAATTCTAGTTTCAAAATTCACCAATGACCTCAAAGTGATCCAAACAAACACATAAGGGATGTCCACCAGAAATTTAGAAGTGTGGATGAGAAATTCAGCAAGCAAATTGAGATTCTAGAACTATAAGACAGGAAAACTTGGAAATTAAGCTCAAAGAATAAAAAAATGCAATGGAAGGCATTACAAATAGAGGAGATTATGTAAAACAAAATATCAGAGATTGAGAACAAGGTTGAAGCATTATTTCACTTAGATAGGAATAAAGAAAAAATAAGCAATCATGACTATCATTGTCAAGATCTCTGGGACATGATCAACAGACAGCACTAAGAATCACGAAATATTAGAAAGGATTGAGATAGAAACTAAGGCACAGAAAACTTATTCAATGAAATTATAGCACAAACCTATCAATGTGTAGAAGGATATGGACACCCAGGAGACATGACCAGAAAAGAGTATCTGCATATTACAATATAGGTAAAATGCCAAGAGTACTATAAAAATAAAGTGTTTTCTATAACTCAGACCCTGAAGACCATGGAACAATAAAGAAATCCCTACTTACCTAACAAGTTAGAAAGAATATAGGTCCTACCATAAACAATCCAACAAAAAAAATTTTCTCTGAAAATTTCAAAATCATTGATCAATTGTCTTATTAATTTGTCAATAATGAACCTAAAGGAAAAAAAAAACAGTTGTACTCGTTATAGTTTGAATTAAAGGAATTTACTTCACAACAAAAAGTGTACTCAAAAGGATTTTATTTAAAACCAAACAAATACTATTCAGTGAAATAAAGAAAATATGAAGGAAAACACCAGAGGCACGAGAGCCATCAGCACCAAGATACTCACAGACTTCCTTTTCTGCCCACATACAAGGTCACACTCTTGCTTGAAAGCAGATGGACTGTGTAAAGAATCTGAATTTGTCAAAAGCTCAGAGTAAAAGCAAATAAGGAGGTGTGTACTTCCTCTTGGTGTGGTAACTAATTCAGGTTTTAATCCAACAGAACACTTGCTTATCACAAATAAAGTGACTGGAGTCAGCAGGCATATTTTAAACTGTACACTGGGTATCATAAAGCCCATTGGTCTTATCATAAGTATAAGTAAAAGTCTAATACTTCTAGGTATTCCCAGATAAACAGAGAATGATTATCCTGTCAAGTATAATCAATTATAGAGATATATCTCTATAATGTGATGATCAAACTACATGCATTTCAAATTATTGAATTGCTTTCTAATATTGCAAAACAAATGATTAAAAATTCAGCAAGTTATTATAACATGAATTTATCTTCTCAGAGTTTCTGAAGTCCCTAAACACTATACAGGGTGGTCAGTTTCTTTTCTTAAAATATCAAAAGCTGATTAATAGAAGGGTACATTTAGGGGCAATTTTTTGTCTGAAGGCTGTCAGGAAATATGTTGCACTTTAGCTCAGATTGTTTGTAGAATCCAGTTCCTCAAGGATGTAAGTCTGAGGTTGAATTCTCTTGCTAGGGCAAATTATAGCTTCTAGAAACCAACCACATTACATGCATTTTACTTTTTCCCATTTCCCTCAAATGGGTAAATAAAATGTATAGGATTTTTCTTCCAATTAGCTGTTTTTTTCCTATTAATGATATACATATGTTTATCCTGCTGATACATATCATGTTTTCTGACATTATTATAGTAACTCCAGCTTTATACATCTATGATTTGTGTGTTAAAGTTTTTCTATTCATATTTTTTTCTATTCCTAAAACATTTACTTTTTGAGGGGGCAGGGGTCCTTTTTTTATTATTATTCACTTATTCACACGTGCATACATTGTTTGGGTCACTTCTCCCTCCTGCTCCCACCCCCACCTTCTCCCCCCCATCCCCCTTCCAGGCAGAACCTGTTCTGCGCTTTTCTCCAGTTTCATTGAGGAGTACAAATAAGCAATAATAAGAAAGACATAGAATTTTTGCTAGTTGAGATAAGGATGGCTATACAGAGAGATTCCTAGCATTGCTTCCATGCACAAGTGTGTTACAACCCTGTTAATTAATCTCTAACTGATCTCTACACTGGTTCCTGATCCTCTTGTGTTGACCTCTGTCACTTTAAGGTTTCTGTATTAATTGCTCTGGAGTGGGATATCAAATGCTTCATGTTTTGAGTTTTATATCTAACCCTGTAGCTCCTGTATATGTTCTCCCCTTGTCATGTAACCTAAGTCCTACAACATTGCTGTATTTGCCCTAGATCTAAAGTATGTCTGGTGTAGAGAATAGATATTTGTGTTTTGCTTTATAATCTGTTTTCACTTTAATTGTAATATTTAGTTATTCACCATTCAGTATACTCATTAACGGATTAGGAATTAGCTGGAACATTTTTTTAACTTTGTCTATTGGTTTTCTTCTGTTGATCCCTTATTTTTCTTCTTTGAAAATTTGTCTGTGTTTTATAGAAAAACTTCATTAGATAAATCATTGTATAGCTACAGGCTATTGTCTCTTTAAACCTATAAAGAGGTTGCTCTATTACTTTCTGTCTTAAATATTTTCTAATGAGAGATCTGCATTAATCAAATTTTATTACTCAATCCTGGTTATTATAAAATTTTTGACCAAACTAGATTTTTGTATACAATTATACAAAAATGAGAAGAATGTTTTCTCAAAAATGAGAAGGAAATTATAAAAATATACAAAATAAGAATTTAAAAAACATGACTAGCAAATTGATGGTGAAATTCTTAGAAAACATAAGACAAGCTCAAAAAGCCAAGTATCACATGTACTTAGTCATTTTTAGAAATTAGATCTAAAATGATGTTTATGATGATGATAATAATACTAATAGTAATAGGACACGGATGTGAAAAGGAGATGGTCTTGTCTGGAGTAATCAACAGGAGGTGTGAAGGGGAAAGGAAATTAAACTGAAGATATATCAAGAAGCCCACCAAACACTGTTTGCAAAAACAGAGATATGTAACCAGCCCTAGGGAAACCCTTCTTCCCCACAGTAATTTTTTTTCTTCTTCCTTACTTCTTTCTTTCCTTCTCTTCTCCTTCCTCCATCAAACTGAAATAATGTATCAACAAGAATCAAACTTTGGTGTAATGAAGCCCTAGCCTATGGAAAGCCTCCCCATGCCATGTTGCACTGAGAAAATTTAGCCCCATTTCCCACTGCTACCACTCACTCCTCCCGCCCACCTGCTGGCTCCAAATCAGCCTGTGCATCAGTTGACAGAACAAACAAGTGAGCACCACACACATCAAGCAGGAATCCCCTATCCACCCCTGATAACATAAACTAAACTAGCACAATCCCTGGGCAGACTGATCCTCCCTCCTGAACAAAACTGAATAAAAGCAAACTATAATCAAATGCAGACAGCGGGTTGGGGGGGTGGTTGGTTGAACTCTGAAATTGCACCAGAGAAAGAGGGAGGGGCAAGGAGCTAAACTCA